CAAAAATAAGAATAGTCAATTTTGATTTGACAAAGACTCAAAATCTTGCTTTACTACAATGGTCAACAGTGCTCACGTTGTTGAAGAAAAACACAATTTCTTCTATTATTTCTTCTATTATTTCTTCTATTATTTTGCTTTTTTGTTTGAGGTTATGAAATACATGAGATTGAACTTTCATTTTGAGGTGAATGATCACTTTAACATTATATTACCTGCTGGAAATGGCTGCTAAAAGCTGTCAGCTGATTAACTTGCAGCTGATTAATAAAGCAATGCTCTAGTCTAGTTAGTCCTCTGATATTCATAGTCATCCTTTAAACCTTAATATTAAATTTCTGCATATCATGTTGCCTGAGACTAATTTCACCTTCTTCGCTATCAATTTGTATTGGTTTTCTTTCTTGAAAAGGAATAGAAGTCCATTCCAATGACTTAATCTGATACAATCTTCATCAATTAAACCATCATCACAATTTTTTAATTCACACTTGTTATTGTTTTTCCCCCCCCTTGCTTGAATTGTGTCTGGTGTATGTTTGCATTCTTTATGTAATCATAGAGAATTTACACCACAACTAAAACAAACCTAAAATAATTTTCCTTTTGAATGAAATTGGGGTGAACTTATGGCAATTCGTAGTTTTTTTATTTAGGTGCTAGCAGTGTTGGGGGTAACGCGTTATAAGTAACATGCATTATGTAATAATATTACTTCTCCGAAGTATCGAGTAAAGTAATGCATTACTTTTAAAAATAAGTAATATTATTTGAGTTACTGTAAAAAAATATAACGCAAGTTACTTTTTTAGCTTAATTGGCTTTTACAAAATATATTACAGAATAGAAAATGACTTTAGTCAGGTTGAATCACACTCAATGAGAGAGCCTGCTGTGAGGAAACATGTGGCTCGACCCATCATCATCATCACGTCTGTTTTTTTAACAGCAGATGAGTCAATGTACAGTTCTAGTAACTGAATAGCTCAGGATGTTGGTTTATTTCAATCAGAGGGAGTATCCGGTATGTTAGTACTTACTGAAAACACATAACATTTTACCATGACTCAATTCAATCTAATGAACTGGTTTGACCGGTCACTACAGAGTCAGAAACAGTAGAAAGAAAGTGTAGATTATGTGCAAGTCAACTGAAGAAGCGACTTTGTTTAGTAAAATAGTAAGAGTTTTTCTCTTTTTGGAAACAACTTAAGCATTTGTTAAGGCCACATGAAGAAATGTATTCAGTGTATAAAGCTGAAAGATTTATTTTGATTTGGCGATGTTTTTTTTATCGTCTTACTGTTCATTTTGTTATTATTTAAGAGTTCACACTTAGCTGATGATTGGTAATAAAGCTAGTTTGGCATGCTGTCCCGGGAGAGAGCCCTGAGCTCATAAGATCCTCGATCCCGGGGCTCCCTCCTGTTTGCAGGGTGGGAGGGGGTATGAGCTCAGGTAGATCTCGAGTAGGGAATCGTTAGGAATCGTCTGATTGGTAGATCTTACGTTAGCTTGACTCTGGGGCAGCTGTGCCTATCATAAGCACGTGATCCTCTCAAAATTAGTTTAGAAATAAACAATATTTCAAAATATTCAAAATCAGTATTTGAAATGTACTAAAGTAGCAAACACATTACTTAACATGCTTTCATTAATCTGTATATACAGCATGTATAGCTCTGGGTTTAGACAGTTCTCAACATATAATTTTATCCTACTTTTTTTTTTTTTTGAAGGAAATGAAGGTCTAGGTTCTATAGGTGGTTGTTAAATGCAGATCTTCTCAATAAAAAAAGGTGAAAAAACACCTACAAGTTCAGAAAGGGATCAAACCTCAGGTAAGGAAAATTAACGCAAAAGTAACTCAAAAGTAATATAACACATTACTTTCCAAAACAAAAAAAGTAATGCAACTAGTTACTTTTTGGGGTGAGTAACTCAATACTTTAATGTATCGCACTACTTTCAAAAGTAACTTTCCCCAACACTGTGTGGCTAACTTTTATTAATTTGAACAAACCTCATTTGTACCTTTTAGTTTGATTTGCTCATCCCCTAATGAGGGGTCATAAAAGTCAGACGTTGTCATACAAATGATATAGTATAAATTAATATGAATTAGGCACTCCTCTGACAATATGCAAAAATAGTTAGATTTCCTCTTCAAGCTCAGTGACTAGTCCCAAAAACACATTTGCAACCAGTAGGGGGTGTGACTAGTAGGTATAAGTGGAGAAAAAGGGCAGAGGTTTTATTTAGTTTTGGGCCATGTTTGTTTATGTGTCTTTGGCTAAAAATCGAATGCATCTTTAATTGCGATCTCTGTAAAACTCTTATTATTATTTTTACATTTAAATCTAATAATCACCAACTGATGAAATCAGAGAAAATCTCTAACATTCAAAGCATGAGTGACGCATGGATGCACTGTTTAGATGTGGGCTGTAAATCTGCTTTGAATAAATCGTCATCTTCAGCTGTCAAAAACAGTTTTGCAGGTAATATAATGTTAACAGGGAAATTACATCCACTTCACCACTGATCTAATAACAAGCAATAAGTTTACCTACCTAAACATAATAAATAAAAAATCTCTATACTGTATATTAATATGAATTATTCATTCATATTTAATCATTCATTGGCTTTTCAGTGTTACAATCTATAGTAAACCTAATGGTATTTACTATCTACAGTATATGAGTCTGTTTGCTCATGAGAGAATGATAAATACAATTATTTTAATATACCAGGTTTGAACTATTGTACAATATTAAAGGGTTCCACAGTAAAACAGTGGCATGATTTCCCTGTAGACTTGACATATACTCTATGTACTTAATGTAAAAACATTGGTGCTTGTACACCAGTACATCTTGAACATTAATTTCATTGCATAATGACTGAGAAACATGTTCTCAATTTTTCATAATAATCATTCTGGATGATCAAATGAAGAGTAAGAATATAGCTTTTTGAATCACCCGTGCTTTTGTTCGCTTGCCATTATTGTTTCACAAAGCTTAATATTGTTGTAGTCACTCATTCACAAGACTCACAGAATGTTTTTAGTATTTGAACTATTCATATGAGATTTAATGTAAAATACAGTCATAATCCAAGGAGCTGCTGTTTATTACAGATCTAACAAACCAAAGTGTTTTGTTTCTCTGCATTTAATTTACTTTTATAGCTCTTTTATGTACAGCATCTGTGTGTTTTCTGCTGTTTGCACATTGTTTAATTGTGATCTGCTGCTTTGACTTCAGTTTCCGCTAGATGGAGATAAAAGAAACTGGTGTGGTGTCATTTAACAATTCTCATGGTGTATTTTAGATGCTGAATGGACTTATTAAACCACTTTTATGCACTAACAAAATCAGATTGCTGTTTCTTATTTCCCATTTTTCAGTATGAACAAATGCCATGCCTCCTTTATAAAATACGACTCAACTACCAATTCGTTTGAATTAGCCACTACACTGACAAAATGTAAAATAGTTATGTTTCCTCATCAGATCAAGCTGCTCTTTCTCATGATGGTTCAAAATTTTTACATGACAACAGTATTCTCTCCAAATACATGCACACAACAATAAAGATTGAGGAAGAATATAATATATTGTATAAAATACTGGTTTTATTTGTGACCGTAAATAAGCTTCAGCTGAGTCATCACTGACATCACTTAAGATTGTTGAGAATCAAATGGCAGAATTAGGTGCTATATAAACGTTACATTTGACAATAGTTGCTTTCTGAATAGTTGTATCTATAGCTGATTCTAATCCTCCAGACTTTCAATTTTATCATTTATATTTATCATTTATCAATCAACTATCAAAGAAGGTCGATCATTATAGAACCAAGAATGTGTTAAAAAAATACAAAAAGCCTTAAGCATCTAATAAAAGCACAAGCAAGAACCGTTTTTAATAGTAATATATTTTACATCCGAGTTACACTACTAGCACACATGCAGTGTACATTTCATTAAATGCACAAAACTCCCTGCTCTAATAGACATATGACTGTTCAAAGGAAGTACTCCATGATTAATAATCTGCAAATAATCTTTTGTCTTTTTTTGATCATCTTATGCCAAAAAGCTCATATTTTTCATTCATTCATTTTTTTTGGCGTAGCCCCTAGTTTAATCAGGGTCACCACAGCAAAATGAATCGCCAACTTATCCACCATGTGTTTTACGCAGCGGATGCACTTCCAGCAACAACCCAACACTAGGAATCAACCATACACTCATATATTCACATACATACACTACGGCCAATTTAGTTTATCCAATTCACCTGTACCATATGTGTTTGGACTTGGGGAAACCGAAGCATCCGGAGGAAACCCACGCCAACACGAGGAGGCATTTCTATAACTCCACATAGATATGCCAACTGACCCAGCCAAGGCTCTAACTAACGACCTTCTTGCTGTGAGGTGACAGCACTACCCACTGCACCACTGTGTCAATAAACCCGGTATTAAAGATTAAATAATAAAGAGCAGCACCTCTGACTGTAAATCAAACACAAGCCCTGGCTCACAAGTTTTGACGTTAATAATGTTATATGGATAACCAGGTTTAAACAATGCGTTATGTTAAACTCAAAATAACATTGATAATTTAAAACATATTACATTCTGTTACTTTAAAAGTGTTACAATTTATTGCATGCTGTTATTTCTTCAGTGTTGCCATTTTATTGTAGTTACTTTATTTTATTTTCAGTATTGTTTTTAGTACCTTTCTGTATATTTCGAGTCAGGAACCTTGGCTGGAGGATGAGGTCTCAGATTTCATCTGAAATATCTTCATTTGAGGTTCAAAAATGAACCAATGTCTTATATCAAAATGAGCGTGAGTGATTAAGGACAGTTTTGGGTGAACTCACACTTTAACAGTGCATGTCAGAGCACAAACAAAACCATAAAGAGATACAGTAGACATTGTCATCAACAGTACTCTCAGAGAGACTCTTCTATACCTTTTGATGATTTTATTTAATGTGGGTCAAGAGGACAAACACTCAGATCTTACATTTTGTGACAACTTCCATTTATAAAGCAGAATTATATCCTGTATTCACCAACCCATGTAAATCACACATACTGAATGAATTCACTGCATAGCTTTAAAGATCATAACTTAATATCAATAATTGAAGTGTTTGAGTAACAATGTTTTGCTTATAATGCCATGGCATTTTCCTTACAGCTTTTATGAGCATCTAAGAATAGTTTACATTTAGACTAAACCATACAAAGATGTCTGTCTTTGCATTTTCATCAAGTTTCTCCTCTAAATTCTTGATGCATAGTGTGTACTATGGCTGAAAATCAACCAAATAACCTCAAAATACAGCCTGATTTCCTGAGAAAACTTAACTATTTTAGCAGCTGTACTCACGTGTGGACTACAGTGCACGCACAGAAATATGTTTGTAAGGAACATTTTTACCCGAGAGCTTTTCGCATCTGGAAATAGTGAAATCCAGATTTGCTGCTCGTCTCCTTTTAAAAAAGACGCTCTAGTTGGTGTTGATTGTCCTGTACCTACAGATTTTGTGAGTGATCAGTGGTCTTTGTTTGTTTATTCAGATGGTTAGAACAGTTCGTTCATATTGTCGGCAGTACTGTTTCAGTTTTTAAAGACTCACGTTAGTCAAAATGATTTAGTTACTAGGTTTACAGTAATGTCACTACAATATTATAGACTTAAAGATCAGCTGTAAATGCTGCGCTCAGAGTGTAAACATGTAAACGCCGCAATCACACTATTACTGTCGTGTAGGATTTTCACCACAATTTGTGACAGGATAGTCTATACACACACGGCTATCTGATGCTACCTACCGAGTGCATCTAAGTTACAGAGAAATGCGGAGATTTTTTTCTCCCATTCACCGTGCGGTAGGGCTCCTCGATTATGGGAAAAATCATAATCACAATTACTTTGGTTATAATTGCAGTTACAATTATTCAATGAAAAAAAGGGTCGCAAATAATTTAGCAGGGCTAATAATTCTGACTTCAACTGTATAAATTCAGTTATTTCCCTCCCTGTAAATAAGGTAAATAAAAACTTTAGAATAAAAATATTTAACGAACTGCTTAAGCATCTTCATTGTAAGAAAAAACTTTAATTATAGCTACAACTGTCCTTCAGTCAAGAGCAGTGAGTGATTTTCTTCTTTTGTTGTTTGATTAATGATTAAAACAGTCGGTAGCAGGAATGTTGCACTTTAAGAGCCGTCCGGTTCTGTTTATGGTTTCCCTTTTACATGTCTGTTGATTCTCAACTCGTTTGTTTATTACACAAATGAGGGTTAATATGAATAATCACTAAACACTGTGTTTTGACACCTATTTGACCATTAAAGCGATCACATTAAGATGATTTTAGATGTGTGTGCTCTGCTCGTCTCGGAGGCTGAGCGCACACACAACAGCGCTTTTAAAAACATGAATGATTGGAATGTACGCCAATGAATGATGGACATACCGTGCTGCAAATATTACATTACAGTACATGCTTTTAGTAATTTTCATGTGAAACTGAGCTTTGCTGTGCAAATGTGTACAACTGGAAAAGGGGTGGTATATGATGCAACAATCATTTCATCTCGATTTATGTTTTTTCATAATCGTTAGAAGCCAAAATAGGAATTAAAACCGAAACCCTACCGTCAATCAAAGATTCCATTAAAACTACACTCTTTCAGCAGTTCCTTGCATCCAATATGTCGTTTGTCATGGGGGCATGCATGAAATGTTCCTGAATGAAAGTGAAAGTGCCAAACAGCAGTTAAGGTTGACAAATTAATAATTTGGTAAATAATTTGAATACTGATGTCCATGTAAACACAGCCACTGTCTTTCTCCCCTGCATCTGTGTTTGCTTTGCCTCTGTAAAAAACAGCGCATGCCCAAATGGAATCTCCCATTTTTATGCGAAACTTTCCCTCCCCTGACACCCCCACCTAAACAGAGCTGGACACACCCACTTTCCTGATGTTGTTCAAACTAGAGGTGTGAAAACACCCCGCTGAGACGGGGTTTTGTGGCCCTTTAAGCTCCAGTCATAATGTATTTTTCTCCCCATAGACTTCCATTCATACACAAGCAAATGCGTCAGACCAGAAACGCAAGCTCGTGTGACAAGTTTCGCAGTTCGCAGCGTTGGAAATTAAATCACATGATTGGGTGAGACCAATCAAAGATCAACATGATCTTATGACTTCTCTGGACAGAAATGTAAAACATGAACCAATTGCTCACTTTATTTAATGTCTAATCATTTTGTTTAATCCCACCCCTTTTTTGCAGTACCGTATTACAGAATATCGCATGCACAAACTCTAGTGTGACCATAGCTTTTCTAGATATACTAGAAACTTCCTAGCAGGTGTGTTGAAGCAAGCTGGAGCTAAACTCTGCTGGACAGTGGCCCTTTAGGGCTGAGTTTGGGCACTCCTGGCCTATAGTTTTCTCCATGTTTTACATTCTAGCGTTACATCAGATTTTATCACTGGTTTACAGTCAATATTATATTGTTTATCATTTTAGTTCAATCATTGGATGTTTTTATCATGTAATTCCTCCAGTCCTGTATTTAAGCCCTCATGTTTGCCATGTTAGGTTGTTGTATTGAAGTATTTTATGCACAGTCCAGGTCATTGATTTAAGTGAAGTCCTGTTGAATTTCAACATTTCTTGACTCTCTCTCAAATACAGTAAAAAGTAAACATATTTGCTATACCACATCAAGATACTCCACAATTCAAGCATACATTTACTATGCAAACTTGCAGTGTAGTTTAAAATTGTAACTAATTACACTTCTATTTCACAAGATAAAGAAAAACTCATTTAAAGGGTTAGTTAGTTCACCCCAAAATGAAAATCCTGTTGAAACCCTCAGGTTGTTCCAATCATAAGACATTCCCAATCTTTTATATTTAGAACACTAATTAGGATATTTTATATAAAATCTGTGTGCCCTCACCCAACAGGGCAGCAACAAGACAGCAACAAGATCTGTAACCACACGAAGCTGTATAAAGCTAACCATAAGAACACTCTTATATGCAAAAAATAAAACTATAAATCGACTTTGTTCACTGTGCATCAGGTCAGGGTGCCTTTGTAAATGTGCACTTTGATTGGAGAGATAATACAGTATGTAAACAAAGTCATATTTACAGTTTTATTTGTGCACAAAAGTGTTCTTGGAGCTTCGTGTGGTTACAGCTGAACAGCTGAAGGTGAATGGAATGTTTTGACATTTTTTTTTTTTAATTTTGAATGTCTCTAGAGCGTTGCCATTTATGTTGCCATCTCAGGAGGCTGGAATGACACGAGGGTAAGTAATCAATAAAACAATTTTATTTTCTGGGTGAATTAACCCTTTAAGTGTGATCTCTTCCTACCTCTCTGAACACACACATAATCACAAACACAAGTAGATGCAGCTTTTTGACATGAGGTGATGATTATGTCCTCAGTTTCATCTGCTTGTGGTACAGCATAAAGTCATCTGGTATAGAATCTGTGAAATACACAAGAGAAACAAATGCTTGAATATCATTTTGATTAACTGAGTTGCACCAACAAAAACAAAAGTTCTAAGAAATAAATTCAAACTGATCCAGAGATATCAGTCCACTTACCATTGCATCTATAGCCAAGATTGGACCATATGACATTTTCCTGAGAGAAGCAGAAAACTCCCAGCCTTCCTCCTCTCATAGTGGAGTCAATCACAACTCCTGAATCTGCCACCAGCGCTGTACCTTCATATAGTCTTAATCTGTCAACAGACATGCAGAACACAGTCAGTTTCTACAGAACTACACTATCATTCAAATGTTAAATGTACTTTCTTATTTTTTTTAATTGTTTATTTGATCCAAAATACATTAAATATTGCTTATATTTCAATTTCCATCTGTTTTATAATCTAATTTATTCATTTGATTCCAAGCTGTGATTTATTTAATTCAATTCAAGTTTATTTGTTAAGTGCCTTGATGATTATTTTTTGAAAGCAGCTTTACTAAAGATGCACATTATTGCATTACAATCAAATTTGGAAAATTTAAGGATATTAGTTACCATAGCTTTATTAGCTACTAATAACTTTGACTAATTAACCAGTAACTAATAGCTTTTAACAATTAAAGTTATTACATACACTCACCGGCTACTTTATTAGTTACACCTGTTCAACTGCTTGTTAATGCAAATTTCTAATCAGCCAATCACATGGTAGCAACTCATGATTGAAGACATGGTCAAGACGATCTGCTGCAACTAACCACTCGATGCAACCCAGGCATGCAGAACAGTATCTCTGAATGCACAACACGTCCAACCGTGAGGCAGATGGGCTACAGCAGCAGAAAACCACACAAAAGGTGCCAGTCCTGTCATTTAAGAACAGTAAACTGAGGCTACAATTCGCACAGGCTAAACAAAATCGAAAAAATGAGTCTTGATTTCTGCTGAGACATTCAGATTGTAGGGTCAGAATTTGGCATCAACAACATGAAGCATGGATCCATCCTGCCTTGTATTAACGGTTCAGGCTGGTGGTGGTTTGTAATGGTGTTCTGATGGCTATTCCAGCAAGATAATGCACCATGTCATAAAGCGTGAATCATCTCAGACTGGTTTCTTGAGCACGACAGTGAGTTCACTGTTCTCAAATGGCCTCCACAGTCACCAGATCTCATTCCAATAGTGCACTCTTGGGATGTGGTGGAACGGGAGATTCGCATCATGGATGTGCAGCCGACAAATCTGCAGCAACTGTGCGATGCTATTATGTCAATATGGACCAAAATCTCTGAGGAATATTTCCAGTACCCTGTTATGCCACGAAGGATTAAGGCAGCTCTGAAGGCAAAAGGGGCTCCAACCCGCTACTAGTAAGGTGTACATAATAAAGTGGCCAGTGAGTGTATAAACATAGGTAATGTGTGCATGTTCAATGAAGTGTATTTGTATATTAAGTGTGCGTGTTTTCAATTACTTCAGTCATCAGTCCTTCATAAACCATTATAATATACAAATTTTCTGCTTTATAGTTTACTTTTTAGCATACATTGATGAAAAATAAATATTGTACTACATATTATTATTTTATAAATGTCTTTATTTCATTTTACTCTTAAAACTGTATGCATCCTTTATAAATAAAAGAGAAATAAAATGAATCAATTTTTAATGGTACTGTTTCACAGTTTCCACACAAAGCAATGAGACTTTTCTGAACTTAATGATTTTCAACAGTGCTTCTAAAAATAAATGTTTCTTGAGCAGTAGATAATGATATCAGAATGATTTCTAAAGGTTCATTTAACACTAAAGCCTGAAGCAAAGATGCAAAAAATTTAGCTTTAAAATCACAGAAATAAAAAAAATATGTAAAAGTACATTTATAAAATAAATTTAGATTTATATTTATTTCACATTGTTATATTTCACAGTGTTTACTGCATTTTGCATAAAATAAATGTGGCCTTTCTTTTTACTAATCCAAATGTTTTGACCTTAGTGTACATGTTTAAAGGTTTAATATGAGCCATCCACAGACAAAATGTTTTGTGTGTCTCTAGAAGTGAAATCAGATCAGCTCTCACCTTATGTATCCCACCTGTGGACGGTGAGAGAGGTGCCAGCGATAGGATGCTCTGTCCTTCCAGCCAACATTTCTGGGGTCCTTCCAGAGCAAAGTAACTTCCCCTGTTGTGTCTCCTGTGTGCCACAGGGCATTACGTAGATACTCACCCGGACCCGTACGAGACTTCACTGCCTGGAGAAAGACAGTGAGAGAAATTTCTGGGTTGCAGACAATATTTCTGGTTGCTTTTCTGTTCTTTGAAGGTCTTGTGACCATTCCTGCCAATGGAGGATGGGAGAACTCTTGGATTTCATCTAAAATAACTTAATTTGTGATCTGAAGATAAACGAAGGTCATGAGGGTGATTAATTAATAACTTTTTTTCATTTATTTAAAGACCAACTAATATTTAACAGATGTGTTGATCACTGTTAATTCATGTTAACTAATGCATTAACTAACATTAACTAATACACCCTTATTGTAAAGTGTTACCAAAACATTGCATATGTGCACTGCTTTAATTTATAGTCTTAGTAAGAATTGACTGAATAATTTGCATAGCACCCTTAAATCAACAGCTCTAACTTTACTTTGAGAGCTGCAACATTGACTTTAAAGGAAATCACCAGTGGTTCCCTCAGAATATTCTATGAATTTAATTTATTTTGTGGTAAACAACGTTTCAATAATAACCAGATGTGTTGCTTTACAACATAAATTACACCAATTTATGTCTATAACACACATTTAAAGCTTTTAAGTTTATTTTATAAATGCCTGTTTTACTACGTGAGAATGTTTTGAGTGCATACAGTTTCCACTGCAATGGAAATGTCCAAGTATCATAGTTACATTAACCAGTTCTTTACTCATACATGTAAAAATCCCAATGGAACTAGTGACAAATCAGCCTTTGTTTTGTTGACATCATGGCTGTAGCACTTTATTTTTACTTTATTCCTGTACTCTCACCTTCAGCTGTATTCCAGGCTGAGCCAAGGCTTTGAATGGTAAATTCTGCCAGTACGTCTGTTCTGTCTGTTTCCACATCACCACATAGAAGCTGGATGAGTCCTGATAGCCAAAGATGAAGCCCACGTAATCATCATCAGTGGCTGTGTTCACATGGATCGTGCCCTCAAAATCAACACCATTAAATGCTGTGTAGCCTAAATAATAAACAAGAAAAATGACGTTAAAAAGAAGTTTAAGGTGTACTTATAAAAAACCTTTTAGTACACTACAGAGTCAAGTCAAAATGACTTTCTATAGCACATTTAAAAGCAACAGTTTTGCCTACAAAACTACATAAAATCAATTTAAAATCTCCATGCATCACATGTGAAATGAAAAAGATAAAAAATATGTACTATATACAGTTTATTTTCACTAGTTTTGTTATTATTTGTATGTTTTACACAAAAATACTTTTACATCTTAAAATGTTTTGGTTTAGTTCAATTTTACTTGCCAATTCTTTGTAATTATTGTTTTTTACATACGTACATGCAAAGTAGATCTGCATTTTGTGTGATGTACGTACCCACAGCCAAACCAGGGTCACTGTTCATAGTCTGCACAATCTCCATTCCCTAAAACACAACATAATTGTTGTATAATGTCCCAGAGTTAAAAGATTAGTTCACCCCAAAATGAATATTATTCCATGACTGCTCAACCTCAAGGCATCCTCAGTGTATTACTTTCTTCTTTTTTTAATAAGTTAATAAACTGTTTTTTCTAACGTCTGGCAAGCGTCAGCCAATGTCTTCTTCTGAGGCGCATTAGCTGGATTGCTGATTTGTCTCTCTTCATAGCTGGATTTCTGATTTTTCTCTCTTTACTGCCCAATAGCATTCATTTAAACTGTACAAAATGCCTTTTAAAAAGTATTTTAACGAAGAAAAAGATGACTGGTCACTTCTCACAAAAAGTTATTTTTCCCCGTTTTTTATGGATCGATGTGCTTTATTGGACTTCTTTCGGAGTGCAAAGAAGAAAAACAAAACAACAGCCAACCTTTTCATTTTAGAGCTGAAAATATAGCCAAATATAATTTTTAAAATAACTTCAGCTGAAAGAAAAAAAGTCATATACACCTGGATGCCTTGAGGGTGAGTGAATAATGGCATGATATTCATGTTTAGTCTATTAAGTACAAAATAAAACAAAAAAAAGCTCAGAAACTAGTTGATAAAATAAGGCCTAATTTGTAATGCATAGGGGTGTCACGATTTTGATTTTTAATCGAAATTGATTGAAATTTATGCTCAATTTTGATTATCGAATCAAAAAATAGAATCGTAGATGCTGCCACGCCCCCATGTTACGTCAGCTTGGCTTGCCAAGCGGGAAAAAAAACAGGCTTGTTGAAGTGCTTGTTAAACTGCAGACGCAGGAGATCCGTCGACAGAACTTAAACCCTCTCCTCTTTCAAAGTCGCTGGTGTGTAAGCATTTTGGATTTCCAGTGAGTTATGTTAACAACGTTCGTGTTGTCGACAAAAAAAAACACAGTTTTGCAAGCTCTGCTATTTACGTATTACGTACGGTTCGTCCGATAGACAACACCGGCATCGCGATCCTCCGCCCGCCCCAGTTGCAAATCCGCTCGCGAAAAGCACACACTCAGGCCCTGTTTACACTGTCTTTGTTTTTAAATGGCATTTTAGAACGACAACGATTTGACATCCACAGTGGCGTGTAGCATTTCTGAGCAGCCCTCCTTCCTCTCTACCTCTGAAAATACACATCACGTGACCACACAGACGCACACACAGCCATGCGCTCGAGACAGCAGGTCCAGGCAGTCAGAGGACTGCTTCAATCTTTCACTCACTTGTACTTAGTCATTTTAGCGAACACCTCAGATACTGTTGGCTGGTTCCTGTTGGTTGTGCGTCTTTTTTTACCGACGCCATTATAACGACACAGATCACTGCCTATTCACGAGTCCCGCAGAAAAAAGTGATTGACAGGTGATAATTATGTGTATCTTGCCTTTATTCATTTACTGTATGATTTGTTTATGGGTAAAACAAAGACCATGCAGGTCAGGTAGTTTAAACGGTTACAAATAATTAATTGGTCATTAATTAATTAATTATTCATAATCGAAAATCGAATCGAATCGTGCCTTTACAATCGAAAATGTAATCAAATCGAGGATTTGGAGGATCGTGACACCCTTACTTATGCATGTACATTTGTTAGTGATGATCACCTGATTCAGTACCACCCAGTTGGGGTCAATCTGAGCATCACCTTCTGGGTCAAGAATGACTGTCTGGAAAGCTCTGAAATCTGTCATAGTGACCTCTGCGCTTTCAGGACACGCATCTAACAGGTCAGTCACTTTATCATTGTCGAAGTCAGTTTCACACACGTCACCAACTCCATTGGCTGACAGGAGAGAAAGTCAAAAACAAAGATGTTAACCTCTAGACTGTGAAGGTATAATGTTAAAATTGAAAATGATTCTTAAAACTAAAATACATTTACAAATAACCAACAGCTAGATTCACTATGCTAATTATTGTAAATGCATGACCACAGTCTGTAAATATTACACTAATACACACATTATATGTATATTAGTAGTATTCAAATATATTTGAAATGTAAAATGAAAGAGCACACCATCAGTGTCTATTTGACTGGGGTTGGGAACGAGTCTGCAGTTATCTGGGCCTGGAGGGAGAATATCCGGGATGCCATCATTATCATCATCATCGTCACATTCGTCCCCGATGCCGTCATTATCAGAGTCCAGCTGAGAACTGTTGGGCACTTCAGGACAGTTATCCCTGGTGTCCTGATATCCATCACCATCACTACACACAGACAGTCATTTTCATTAGAGCTTTACACAACATTGTACTAGCAGAAACCACAAACCAGAGCAGATATGAAAAAAGTGATATATGCTAAATCAAAACTAACTTTATCTTTCAAAAATGTGAAGCTGTCAGATTTACCATTAAAAAACAACTTGGTTTGCAGATGATCTCTGAGTAATTAGAGCTTCATGAATAGCTATTGACAGTGGACTTCCGTTACTGCGATTATAGAACTATAAAGGTCCTTTTGTCTGTTGTTGCATAAAATAAGCTTTTATTTAAACATATACTTACATGTCCTTGTTTGTATCACATACATCTCCCACCAGATCATTGTCCATGTCTGACTGCAAATAAGCAAAATTTTAAAAATGAATTACTGTGTTATTACTTGAGAGGCAAGATCCTTTATTGGCTTAGGTGCCACTATTTGTTCACAATAGGGATGTAATGATTTACTGTGAGCTGGTTGGAAATCGATTCAAATATGTGACGATTCAAACCGGAAGAAATGTTGAACGAATCTTGATACAGGGCGCTGAAGAGGGCGCTGTGTTTACAGGGCAGTAAAATGACAGCGGTAAAGTGCGCCAGACAAAACAAACTGTGTGGAAATACTGCAAAAAGACGTTTACTTACACTAACAACGAATATGATGCACATAAACCGTCAGCACAGTGAATTACTACTGTCACAGACATCTATACGAACAAAAAAAAAAAAAACTTTTATTGATAAGCCACACCACGTGGACTGTATAATTTGCAGCTCTGCTTGCTCAGACGAGTGCTACAGAGATCGCACGGTGCATTCGTGTTTTTATAGTGAAAGTGTGAAGTTTCAGACTGAAAGAGAAAGTTGTTCTGTTACAGAACCAGGTATTAGATTATTTTTACCCTCTCCTTTTCAAATGACTTTATGCATATTTTGATAATTTACTTATTATTGTTATTGAATAATTAAAAATGTTAAAAATTATCTTTTCTTAAATGTATCACACTGATACTTATACTAATTATTTATACAAGTAATATTAATTATTCACCTTTTAATCATGTTCAACTCCTGTCTCTGTCCTACTATATAATTAGTAATTTTATAATCAGTTTTTTATCCCAGTGGCCAGTCGCCTAGAGCAGAGGGCCAATTGACCACCTCTGTACACACTGCTCTCTGGTTTAGGAAAGGCTTTCCTCTCTACACCAGCAATCTCAGTCCTCAGTGAAAATGTTTTTCATCATCAGGGGACATTGTAAATGTGCAAAGACCTCAGCTTATGCCAGAAAGCATAGATATTCTTATATTTATTTTTTAAAATGTAAAATTTCAGCACAGTCACAGTTTTAGGTTGTTTGTATTAATGAGTCTTCTTTAGTTTGTATTATTCTTTTTTTAATTTGTTTTCAAAATAGCAATTTAGATATGGCAGAAAATATGTTATTTAGCAAAAAAAAAAAAGTGAAGCATTTAAGAAAAATTATTTTGTTTAAATTCAAATAATTTTGTAAAAAAAAATCGTGACTAAATCGTATCAGGAGATTAGCATTGTGATGTGTATTGAATTGTGAGTCAAGTCAATTGTTACATCCCTACTTCACAAAATGTGTCATTTATATACATAATATTACAATAGTAATATAGTAATACTAATATTATTATACTGTAATACAGTTTTATACAACTAATAATACTGTAATATTAAGAAATGTTGGTACATTTTTTTGAAGTGAGAAGTTCTCTCAAACCTTTTGGTTCAGCAGCCTTAACCCTATCCCCAACATGAATTAAGGATTTGTCAGTTTTTAGTTAGTTTTGAGTTTTCATATTTCATATTATTTATTATTATTATTTATTCATTATTTACAATATTATCAAAGTTTGCGTTGAGGTAGATGGTCTTGTGGACTATTTTGCTTTTGAAAATGTAACCATTTATTTAAACTTGGCTAAACTAAAGGAAATTAACCAAGATTTTCTACCGTTTCAAAGAAGCTAGCTATATTATCTTCCTATCACTATTTTGTATAAATGTACACACACAACATATTTTGTAAGGTAATCTGAAAAATAAGTGTGTGATGTAAAATCGATTATTGGGTGCATCAAGGTTTGGTGCTTAGACCTCTTCTCTTTTCTATATTAGTGAATCATAAAAACACACTTCTCCTGTAGCTTCTACACAGATGGCAGCAGTTTTATTGTTTTGGATGACCCCACTATCTCAGCTTGCCTTTTTAGAAATCTAAATCTTGATGATGGAGCTTTGGTTGTATCACTAGATAGTCCCCGTTCTTCTCTTCCCTATAGTTTTAACTTGTTATCTTTGTCTAACCTGCAGTGGGTCGTTGACCTCAGGACAGCTGTCACATGCATCCCCCACACCATCTCCATCTCGGTCTGTCTGCATGGGGTTGGGTATTTTAGGACAGTTATCCAAAACGTTAGGGATCCCTGTAAAGAAAATCAGTGGTAAAGACAGATGATGCAGCAGAACAATGCTGTAAAACCACAGAACAGTTAAATGGGACTGTACCATCTCCATCAATATCAGTGTCACAGATGTCTCCCTTGCCATTGCCATCAGTATCAAGCTGATCGCCGTTGGGTACGTTGGGGCAGTTGTCGCAAGCATCACCATAGGAGTCTGTGTCAGAGTTCTGCTGGTCCTTGTTGGGCACCAGACGACAGTTGTCCTGGAAAATGATATATAAGCTAAGGGCAATTCATTTAAACCAATATAAAAGTCTGATTTATGACAATAGGTGAAAATCATATCACATATTAATCTCACATACAAGTCTCACATCTCATCTCACATACAAGTTAATGTATAGATTTCACATATACACTACCTGACAAAAGTCTTGTCACCTATCCAAGTTTTAGGAACATTAAATGATAACTTTACTTCTAGTTGATCAGAAGTGGCTTATATGAAAGGCAAGCTTAAGCTTATTTTACCAAAATAAAATATGATTATGCCTTGATTTTTAATTATTTATTTAGGCATTAAGTAAGGTCTGACTTTGCTTAGAAAAAAGTCTTGTCACTTAACAGAAATAACGTACAGTATAGAATATAAAGTCATGGTTCAGTGAAAAAAGGATTAATATTGTGTATGACTCCTATGAGCTTGGAGGACTGCATCCATACATTTCTGACTCGAATAACTTATTAATAAAGTCACCTGGGATGGCAAAGAAAGCATTCTTGCAGGACTCCCAGAGTTCATCAAGATTCTCTGGATTCATCTTCAGTGCCTCCTCCTTCATCTTACCCCAGATATGCTCAATAATGTTCATGTCTGGTGACTGGGCTGGCCAACCCCAAAGCAACTTGACCTTGTTTGCTTACATAAACTTTGATGTGGAGGCTGAAGTATGAGAAGGAGCGCTGTCCTGCTAAAGAACTTGCCCTCTCCTGTGGTTTGTAATGTAATGGGCAGCACAAATGTCTTGATACCTCAGGCTGTTGATGTTGCCATCCACTCTGCAGATCTCTCGCACACCTCCATACTAAAGGTAATCCCAAACCATGATTTTTCCTTCATCCAACTTGACTGACTTTTGTTAGAATCTTGGGTCCATGAGGGTTCCAATATGTCATCTGCAGTATTTGTGACGATTGGGACGCAGTTCAACAGATGATTCATCAAAAATCTACCATCTGCCACTTTTCCAAATGATCTACTAGAAATCAAGTTATTAATTGTTGCTCTTACAACTGTAATTGACGACAAGACTTTGTCAGGTAGTGTGTAAAGATGTCATATACTGTATATGTGCATATTTGCAACATAAATTTCAAAATATTGTAAAAATAGCCATTTACATATCTTTTACATTTATAAGTACTTTTCAGCTGTTAGAATTAGAATATTGTACATATGTTTTTAATTGTTAACTTTATGTTCATATTTTTCTGCATAGGAAAATACTGAAAACTAATTTTTCAAATACATCAGCCGATTTGAAAATACTGGTATATCTTATAATTTTTCAAATCATTTAACAAATCATTGCTACTTGATCAGATACCTCAACGTTTTTAATTCCATCTCCATCTGCATCCTCGTCACACTGATCACCAATGCCATCTCCATCTGTATCCTCCTGCCCAGAGTTTGGAGTGTTTGCACAATTATCCTGCACATGGAAGAGTTAGAATTAACAACAGATATTAAAATACATGTTTTTATAAAGAAACACCATGCTGTCATCAGCTAAGCTGAAAGGTTTGTATATATTGAATACAATCAAATTAGAAAAATCAAATAATCAACTGTTTCACTTTTTAGAGTCAAATTCTGTGTCCTATTTTCTAACTACTTGCAGTCCAACTCAAACAAAATGTTGTTTGGTCTGGTGCAGTGCTGTTACATGCAGATTAAATTAAGCAAATGCACACTTAAGCAAATGCACAATTAAAGAAAACATTTGCACATATTGTATCAATTAAGATTTCATTATTTCATCAGATGATAAAGGAATATTATAACCAGTACATTTTTGATTGAATAATACTGAAGCAGACAGTGGAATGGAGGATACATTAGGCAATTTTTGTGCAGATAAATTGACCACGCATTCTTTGTAAATTCCATGCTTGAAGTCAAGAGGATGTAATGTAATGTACCGCTCTGCAGTGTTTGTCATTGTCCATACATGGAAGAGGTTCATCAGGGTAACCATCAATGTCTGAGTCTGGACCACAGATGTTCCCATTACCTGCCCAGCCAACATTACACTGCAAAGACAAAGTGGAGAGATTTTTTAGATTTAGAAATACTTTTGAAAGTAAAAGAAAAAGCAGTGATAAACTAATACATTTGCGACCAAGTTTATATTATATATAAAGTATCGCGAACTACTATGTAATAACACTGCAATTAATCATTCAACACAATGTATTTAATGTGTTAGTTTTTACATTATACCTGCATTTAAAATGTCTTTATGCAAGTACATCTATAATTAATTTAGCATTTACATCCATAATTACATTGTCAACTGAACTTCAACTCCTTAAACCACTTTTGAACATAATCAAACCACGACGACTAACTATACCCACATCCCGTCTTAATAGATGTTTTGCATTATTCATACCTAAAACTGTGTTTGGACAATTAAACTACTAACACTGGAATTAATCATTTGACACAATGCATTTGATTGTAAATATTTGTCATTACATCCTAATACTAATGTTATTACTTGTATTGTTAGAACATCTATAATACATTTTGTATTTACATCTGCAAGTACTCTTTTAACCCAGCTTCTTCCCCTTCCCGCACTTTTGATAATAGAAATATCACCAAAATACATTGTTTAGTACCCTGTACCTAAAACTTTGTGTGATAAAACAGTAATTTTGTACTAGATTACATTTAGTAGAATTTGTCGTATCACTTAAGAGCTGTATTTACCAATGAAAGATTTCCAGGTAGTAAATTATCTATTTTTAACATAAAAAATTGTTTGCTAAGTCTTACCACACAGGACACGTCACTATTGCGTCCCATCACACAGTGTGAGTTGACATCACAGGGGCTATAGCCAAGAGTTTCACATGTTCTCCTTGCAAAACAGCCTACAGTCTGATTTCCCACAAATCCTGCTTTGCACTGGCCACACTTGAACGATCCCTGTAAAGAGAGAGACGTTGGTTTTTGTAGTAGTATATTTGTATTTCATTGGTTTTAGCTGCTCTGCTTGATTAAATCTCAGCAGTTTTACTCACCACTGTGTTTATGCAGACTGAGTTTGGCACACAGGAACCGGAGAGCTCAGCACACTCATCAATATCAACACAATGCTGACAAAAATTAACAACATTTACTCAGTAAAAAAATGAACCAAAGTTAATCTGGTAAAATGAATCACATACATACTATATAATCCAGTTAGGTCATACTATTAGATTGTGGCTTTTGTTATCCTCACTAATATTGGTCGAAATTTGGATTTTGACACATTTTTACCTGTTTGTGTCTTTTGGCAAATTCCAAACCAACCCCTTTGAGTGTTGGACCGGTGAATCCTATAGGACAGGACTGACAGGAGAAACCTTTAGCTGTGTTCACACACAACTCTGCAGAAAAACAGGGCTGAACAGTGCACTGTGACAAAAAAAAAAAAAAAAAAAAAAAAAAAAAAATATATATATATATATATATATATATATATATATATATATATATATATATATATATATATATATATATATATATATATATATATATATATATATATATATATAGAGAGAGAGAGAGAGAGGAAAAAGAGTCAAATGAAAAAGGAGCTGTAATGTCCACTTTCTGCTCCAGCATACAATTTATCATTTTTACTTGCATGTCATGTGAATTGCTCCATAGTCTTAAATTTTGTTTAAAAACTTTATTTAGAATAGTATATTTTTAGAATGAATATTATTTCCTTTTAAGCCCTCTTCAGAAAATTATGTGAAAAGCATACTACTTAACAGTAAAGAGACTTTGTAAGCTTTCTATATATAAATTCTAAAAATATTAATAATAAACTCTGAAATCTTTGCAGGAACCTCATCAATATCCTGGCAGTGTGTCCCGTTGCCCGTCATACCCTCTGGACAGGGGCCACACTGATATCCTGGGTACATCATGCTCTCCATGCAGCTTACACCGGTATAGCATGGGTTAGGAAGACACCGGGACTGGGGCTCATGAAATCCTGCTCAACCAAGAATTAAACAGATTGTCATCTACGACGTGGTTATAAAAACATGAACAGCCTTTATTCTGTTCAATCACGTACCACACACTTGACATTCAAGAATAGTGTTCCTGATTAGAGACATCTCTTTAGTCTGAAAAAACAAACAAACAAATAAACAGGAAAGAAAAGTTCATTTTACAGTATATAATCCAGTGTCTCAACTAAAAAAACAAAAGAAATTATGGGTTTAGTTTATTCCTCGTCTCATTCACTCAATCATTGGTGCTACTTAATATAGTTATGGCACATATTTATTTAGATTTAATTTAAATTCATTTCATTCTAATTGTCCTTTAAATTTTATATAATATAATTAATATTTAATCTTAATCACTTAGTTTAAAAGAAAAACCCAGAACATTTGGTTAACTATCACAGTTTAAATTAATCTACATTGATAACATTTACTGGTTTTATATATAACGTTTGAACTGGGCAAAAAAAATGTTGATTCCAGAACTGGTATTAGCACAGTTATTGCTCATTGAGTGACATAACAGTCACTATCCTGTGTAAATGCATATTTTTAAAGGATTGTATAAAAATAACAAATAATGGAAATGCCAACTACATTTCAATTGCTTTTCGATTAATCGCCCAGACCTACTTTACAGATAAGTTTTTACGCTTAACTGAAGTGGTTTTAGACTTGTGAGAAACAGGGTTACTGTGAATAATAGGTGATGAAAACGCATGAAACTTTAAAAAAAGATTTGCTTCCCGTTAGGATGGAAACCGGCTATTGTCATCAAAGTTGCTAAACCCAAAGCATGACCACTATTTTTCTACACAGAAGTAGTTTCTTCTAAATCCTCAAACTTGAAGTTTAAAGTGAAGATTCTCTTTATTCAAAACATTTAAAATTATATTTATTGTCTACATCTTTTCCTTCGGGACAGTGTGGTGGCTCAGTGATTAGCATTGTCGCCTCAAAGCAAGAAGCTTTGCTTCGCTGGTTCGTGTCCCGGCTGGGTCAGTTTACATTTCTGTGTGGAGTTTGCATTTTTTCCCATATGCATGTTTTGCATGTTCTCCCATATGTTCACATGGTTTTCCAGCATATGTTTAAAGCATATGTTTTATGCAGTGGATGCCCTTCCAGCTCTAACACAGTACTGGGAAACACCCATTACCACATGTCTTTGGATTGTGAGGGAAATTGGAACACCCGGAAACCCCTGAGAACACAGGGAGAACATGCAAACTCCACACAGAAATGCCAACTGGTCCAACTGGGACTCAAACCAGTAACCTTCTTGCTGTGAGGCGACAGTGCTAACCACTGAGACACCGTGCTGCCATTTTTAATGATTTTATTTTTTACATATGTATGCGTACTGAGGGTAATGAAAATTATTGGTCAAGAACAGTGTTGTTTCATATTATTTTAAGCAAGTAATTTGAACGAGCAGCAAATATAATTTTTCCTGTTTTTCTCTAACCTGTTCTCTGATATCCTCTCTCAGCTCTCCCATGATCTGGTTAAAGATGATCAGCTGTCCAATCAGAGCTTTGGTGTGATCACCTGGCCATTATCAAGAAAGTCATCACAGCATGAAGATAATACAACTTTGATAGTACATCATGTGTTTATGTGATGGCAGGTTATATTGTCTAAACACATATCATTTTTTGATACTTACCAAGGATGGCATTAATGTCACTGACCACTGTAAAGAAACAATAATTACATATAATCAATATATCAACATCAAACAGTTGTGCAGATAATATTTTTGTGGAACTGTGATACTTTTGATCATGATTTTTTATATAAAGTTCAACACGGCAGCTTTAAGTAACAATATCAATTCCTTCACTGTCCACTTAACATTCCATGCGTGCGTATTCTATACATGTGGGCATAATTTTTGCATTGCCACAAGAGGGCAGTATGATGATATGACAATGGTAGGAGTGAGTTATTATCCCATTTGGTATTATGGGATACTGTGCACTTTGTACATCTTTACATGGTAGTATGTATTGACAGTTTTTAATTTTGTAATGAGCATACTACAGTGATGTATAGAAAGCACATTTATTTTTTGTATATATATATTTTTTAATTGAAATCCAGAAATATAAAGATCTCAGATTATAATACTTATTGTTCATTTGTTATACTCAAAATGAACAAATGAGTCCAGTGCTTGTTGGACACATTATCCAACATAGCATATTCTGATTCTGATATGTTTAACACATTCAGTACTCAAAGGGCATCATTCGCTGATGCTATAAGGCTCATTCTTACCTGCATTGTTTATTGCTGAATCTCCTTGAAACGGACAGTCAATGAGGAGACCAGCAGTAGCCAAAGAGCCTCCGAGAGCCAGTTTAACAGATTCTACTAAACCCTAAAATATAGACATAAATATGAGACATGCACACTATCTCTGATGAGCACAACGTCTATCTTTATTCCTCTTTTTCAAGATTCTATTGAACACATTCAGTATAATGCTTCCACAACTTTGTATACTGAAGGCAGCGCTAATTAGATATACATAACAAACTCACTGCACTATGAGAGTTTAATGGGTGGTGGTGATGTGGTTGCGAAGACATTTGGGGTAATTGTGGGGTAGTAAGTCAAAACAGATCTTTTCTATCTCTTTGTGCATGTGTTATTCTGATTAACCTTATATTACTAGAGTATCTATTTAGAAGCAAGCATATGAGACCCTTTTTATCAATTCAGTAAAATAAATAATTTTTTTTGTAGAACAAAATCAATGGTAACCAGACAGCTTACTGTATGAATGCCATTGGCTTCCATAGTGTTTTTATTTACACTTTTCTTATATTTCAGCAGACAAAATAAAATAATGTTTCACAAACTAATTTCGAGAGGAGCATCTGATATGATTGATCGCAACTGGTCTCTCATCCGTAATCATTAGTAAGCTAATCGGATCATTCCAAACTCACTATAAATAGCCCAACTAACATTACTCCCTTATCTTTTTTTTAATCCCCCCATCCACCCCATCTCCTCCTTTCCTTCTTTAACAGGGGGAGCTTTCGAGAACTTCCTGATCTCGTACCCCTCACATGCTCATTGACCAGGCGCACACGACTTAAAAAAAAAAAAATAATAAATCCAATAATAGTTTTGGCAAAAACATGCACTCGTCTTTCATTTTAATTGAAAAATATGTATATGGCACATATAGGGCCTGTGTTTCCTTTCCAAATATTATTAAGAATACTACATATTCTATTCTAAAACATAAAATCCCTCACAAAAGCTAACACGTATTCTAATATCACATATAAATCATATAAATAAATAAATAAATAAATAATGAGGCTATTTATTAAGAACTAAAATTTAATATTTATTTTTTTCTTAGGAAATGAAAAAAATCCTATTTAATAGTAATTTAAATAATAATTATTATGATGATGACGATTATTATTATTATTAATATTATTATATTTCAATTATTCATTTTCTTTTCAGCTAAGTCTTAATCTAGGGACCCAACAGCAGAAGCCAACTTATCCAGCACATGTTCTACGCAGCGGATGCCCTTCCAGCTGCAACCCATCTCTGGGAAACATCCATACACATACGGACAATTTAGCCTACCCAATTCACCTGTACTGCATATTTTTGGACTGTGTGGGAAACTGGAGCACCTAGAGGAAACCCACGCAAACGCAAGGAGAACATGCAAACTCCACACAGAAACACCAACTGACCCAGCCGAGGCTTGAACCAGCGACCGTCTTTCTGTAAGGTGACAGCACTACCTACTGCGCCACTGCGTCGCCCTATTATTATTATTATGTAGGATATTGTTTATTATTTTTGTTATTATTGTTTGTTATTTTATTTTTTTGTAAAGACACCTTTTACAATTTGACAGGCAAACCACTGCAGAAATGTTCTAACCAACAGGCCCATGTCATATACAGTACATATACTTAATAAATAACCTACTATAAATGAAAAGCATTAATGTATTCTATGTTTTTTGTTTTCACAAGCTTTGAAAACGTAACATAAATTTCACTTTTAAATAATAGGTCGCCTATAGCTTTCGTGCTACGGCTTTGTTCAAAATGACATCAATGTTTTTAAAGTGCACTGCAAAGGGAGTGCAATTGTAAACACGAAAATCGCTGAATTTGAAGTTCAAATTTCAGAATGTTCTAAATGAACGGGGCATAGGGGGATAACTGGAAATAAAACACAGCCAGGAACTATGCTTCTAACTACAGCTCTAGCGGTGTAGGTGCAGCCCATCTAGCAAAATTTATGTGGCTCAAATCCGGCTCACACTAGACACTTACATCTGGCCCACATACCGCAAGGAATGATGGCACATGGGCGGTCTGCTCCTGTTTGCCAGATCTGGGTCACAATTAAGCCATAGCAATATCACATATCAGCCAGAATTCAACCAAATGAACCAGAACTGACCCTATTCTTGGCAACAGTTTGCTTAGATTCTGGCCCAGATCTGGCCTATTACTTCTGATAAAGGATTAAACATTTGTAAACATCAGTGAATCATATTATTCCATCACAGGTTTTGCAAAGTTCTTAACAGTTATAACAGCCCAAAAGAAAAAAATATATTAGGAGGTACAGGGCTATGAGCCCAACTAAAGCAAACACTTTTCTCCATGATGGTGACTTTAGTCTATGTGGTCCACATATGTTTTAAGATAACTGGGGCCACTATAGGCTATCAGTTACATTAGCCAGATTTTATTGTGCCGAATATTCGCCAAAAGTGGCCCACCTACGTTTTAAAATAACTGTGCCACGTTTGCCATAGTTTTTCTGGGCCACTTAAGGCTCACAGCCGCAATAGCGAGAGCTTACTGTGCCAAATATTTGCCAAAAGTGACCCACATATGTCTTAAGATAACTGGGCCACATTTGCACCTACACGTGTAAGCTACTTTAGGTTTAGACCCAGATTACCCTTAAATGACTATACCACTATTTTGCCAACTGTGGCCCACATTTGTCCTTTGTCATTTGGGCCAAATTTATCATTTTCCACATGGGCCACATTGAGCTCACATTCAGATTACATTTTGCCATAAGTGCCAAACTTTGCCTTAAATGGCCAATATATGAATTTAAATCTTTGGCCCCCCTTTGACATTGTACAGGTGGGCCACTTCAGGCTCACATTTATTTTGTCTGGGTCAAAGGAATACCACCAGTGCTGCATAACTGCCTAAAGTGGCCCACATTCGTATGCTATCTAGTAAGCATACAAGTTTGTGACATGTTCGTTGAAACTATAGATTTGGGAAACTCCAAATCAACGAACTATGTTTGTAACGACAGGACTTGCGACTTTAGTTAGCTAACCATGGTTTTTGGAAATGCACCCCGGCTTGATGCAAAAAAACAAACAAACCATATTTGATGAAATCTATAGTATGGTTGAGTAAAGTATGCTTGAATAAAATCAAATCTGTTTATCAAATAAAGTGATCATTTCTTTACAGAGGACTGGAAATAAACTGCTTGATCTATATGGTTTTGCTATACAGTTGCTTGGATTCACACACTAACTATAAAAAAGGAATTTAGGCATAAAAGAATCACCTGTATCCTGGCATAAGACTTCTGTCCGGTGCGAACATCCACAGATTCCGCCTCTGATGGAAGTCCGACGAATGAAGGCAATCCCTGAGCAGAGTCGACTAAACGGCAGTTCACATAAAGCTCAAGGTTTATGTGACTCCGTCTAAGTCCACCAATTCTGAGTATAAGTGACTGTGTGCGTCCCTCTGCGAGAGCAGGGTTTTGTAAATTGACAGTATGAGCTTTGCCATCAGAACGCAAGTATCGCACCAGTACTGAGGAGAAAAAGAAGAATATATATTTCCGGAGACAGAAATCACAACCAAAAGCTACAGAGAACATAATGAAACACTAGGCCTGATATGGCTGTGCAATATCACAATATACAGTGGGTACGGAAAGTATTCAGACCTTACATTTTTCAGTCTTTGTTATTTTGCAGCCATTTGCAAAAATATGTAAGTTCATTATTTTCCTCATTATTGTACATTTAGCACCCCATATTGGTAGAAAAACACAGAATTGTTGACATTTTTGCAGATTTTTAAAAAAAGAAAAACTGAAATTTCCCCTTTGCTGTATACACTCATGTATGTAACTCATGTGCTGTACATTTCTTATGATCATCCATGAGATGGTTCTGCACCTTCGTGTGAGTCCAGCTGTGTTTGATTATACTGATTGGACTTGATTGAGAAAGCCACACACCTGACTATATGAGACCTTACAGCTTACAATTCATGTCAGAGCAAACGAGAATCATGAGGTCAAAGAAACTGCCCGAAGAGCTCAGAGACAAAATTGTGGCGAGGCAGAGATCTGGCCAAGTTGCAAAAAATAAATCGGCTGCACTTAAGGTTCACAAGAGCACAGTGGCCTCCCTAATCCTTAAATGGAAGACCAGAACCCTTTCTCGAGCTGGCCGTCCGGGCAAATTGATCTATAGGGGGAGATGAGCCTTGGTGTAGAGGTAAAGAAGAATCCAAAGATCACTGTGGCTGAGCTCCAGAGATGCAGTCAGGAGATGGAAAAAAGTTGTAGAAAGTCAACCATCACTGCAGCCCTCCACCAGTCGGGGCTTGAAAGCCCATATGGAGTTTGCTAAAATGCTGAGAAATAAGATTCTCTGGTCTGATGAGACCAAGATAGAACTTTTTGGCCTTAATTCTAAGATGTATGTGTGGAGAAAACCAGGCACTGCTCATCACCTTTCCAATGCAGTCCCAAAAGTGAAGCATGTGAAGTATCATGCTGTGGGGGTGTTTTACAGCTGCAGGGACAGGACGACTGGTTGCAATCAAGGAAAAGATGATTGTGGCCAAGTGCTGGGATATCCTGAACAAAAACCTTCTCCAGAGTGCTCAGGACCTCAGACTGGGCCGAAGGTTTACCTTCCAACAAGACAATGACCCTAAGCACACAGCTAAAATAATGAAGGAGTGGCTTTACAACAACTCCTTGACTGTTCTTGAATGACCCTGTCAGAGCCCTGACTTAAACCTAATTGAGCATCTCTGGAGAGACCTAAAAATGGCTGTCCACCAACATTTACCATCCAACATAACAGCACTGGAGAGTATCTGCAAGGAGGAATGGGAGAGGCTCCCCGAATCCAGGTGAGAAAAAGTTGTTGCATCGTTTCCTCATGGCTGTATTAAATCAAAAGGGTGCTTCTACTAAATACTGAACAAAGGGTTTGAATACTTAGAATCATGTGATATTTAAGTTTTTCTTTTTTAACAAATCTGCAAAAATGTCACCAATCCTGTTTTTTTCTATCAATATTGGGTGCTGTGTGTACAATAATGAGGGAAAAAATAACTTAAAGGATTTTAGCAAATGGCTACAACATAACAAAAAATTCAAAATCTAAGTAGGGTCTGAATACTTTCCGTACTCACTGTCTATCATAAAGTAAAATGACATAATAAAAAGTCTAGCATTTCATATTAGGCTCTTTATTTTGTGCTATCACAAAATACATTATTTACTGTAATACTTTTTTATCATTTATATGAGCACAATATTACAAACCATTATATATGCAGACAGAAACATGACAGAAACATGAATAACAGCATCATGAGGAAGATGCAGTTACATTGCTTTATTTTTATGTTGCACCTGTAATGATTAGTTTTTGAAAAGTGTTTTATGGTTTATTAATATTTATTTTATATTTCCGTGTTTTTAATCAAACTGAAGTTCCAAATCAAGTGAGAAATATAATCATATATGAATGCGTAAATTTCTGTGTGTATACTTTAAATGTAAAAAAAATTGTTCTTTGCTGTGGTCAACATATAACACTATTAATTGATTGAATTTTACAGAAAAGGTGTTATACAGTGATATACAGTATATCATTATCAGGATATGAGATGACTTGTTTCGTGATATGAGATTTTTGTCATATTGCCCATGCCCTAATATTTAATATGACTGAACAATATGAAAGAACACTTACATTTGTTGATCTTGCCTACAACAGCAATCTCTAGGTATTTCTTGTTGTCCTGCTTATCATAGAGACCAAATAAAACGCCTCCGAGTTTGGGTGGCAGCATGAAGGTGGAGGTGATGTACAGATCTCCAACCGTCTGCAGAGCTCCAGACAGATTCTCTATAGCTGCTGCTGTCTGACGGACATCATGAAGCTCCAGCACATTGATTACTGAGAGAGAGGAGAGTATTACAGGTTAGATAGTATACAGTTTATGCACATTTATAAACTGCCTTCACTGACATACTGCAGAACAAGGGCAAGAACAAATTAACCTGCTTGTGAGTCAAAGGAATTTTCCCAAAATGACAATTCTGTTGTCATTTTCTCACTCTACTTGTTTCAAGCCTCTTTGAGTTTTTTTTTTTCTACTGTTGAACACAAAAGCAAATAGCTTAAAAAATATTTGAAACCTGTAAACATTGACCTCCATAGTATTTGTTTGTCCTACTATGGAAGTCATTGGTTACAGGTTTTCAGCTTTCTTCAAAATAACTTCTTTTGTTTTTAACAGAAGAAAGAAACTCATAAAGGTTAATAACCGCTTAGGGGAAAGTCACTTCATTCATTTCCCCTTCAGCTTAGCCTGTATTTCAGAGGTCATGACGGCGGAATGAACCGCCAACTATTCCATCATATGTTTTACGCAGTACTGGGAAACACCCATACACAGTCATTTACACATTTACACTACAACCAATTTAGTTTATTTAATTCACCTATAGCAAGAGTAAATAGTAAGTAAATTTTCATTTTTTGGATGAACTATCTTTTATGATAGATGTTGTGTCTATGGTGGAAATGTTCTGCTGCTATTAAAGAACAATTTCAATGGTTTTACAATGGAGAATAAAATTAGAGGAATTTGGATTTTTTTCCCCACTTTTATTTACTTTAAATCTGTATTGTAGGACTTAACCTCTTCTCTGACAACATTTTAAACAATTTGTTTAAATTATATATATATCACTATATATATATATATATATATATATATATATATAAATAATTTTTTTTTTGTTTTTATTTAGGTTAGTTATTTGAATTATGATAAAAAGTGCATGGAGCTGTCAGTACTTTTTTTCTGTTATTGAACCAATTTCATTCATTCATTTTGCTTCGGCTTAATCCCTTTATTCATCAGGGGTAACCACAGTGGAATGAATCGCCAACTTATCCAGCATATGTTTTACACAGTGGATGCCCTTCCAGCTGCAACCCAGGACTGGGGTACAGACTCATTCACACACATACACTACGGCCAATTTAATTTATTCAATTCACCTATAGCAAATGGCTTTGGAATGTGGGAGAAACCGGAGCACCTGGAGTAAACCCACGCTAACACAGGGAGAACATGCCAACTCCGAACAGAAATGGCAACTCACCCAGCCAAGACTCGAACCAGCGACCTTGTCACCCCTGAACCAACTTGTATGTATATTATTTCCTAAACAATAAACTGTTTCAAACTATATCAATACTAAAAAAGTCAATAAAAGTCACTTTGTTAAAATGCACATTTGATTTTTCAACATAAAATGCCAACAGAGCAGAGATTAGGGTACCCTAACGCAATTCATAACCATAAAACTAGTAAATCATAAAATATGTAAACTGTTCATTGACTTTATTTCTGAAGCACAGTATTAAAAAAAAAAAATCTATGAGATATTTGAAACAGAACACTGATCACAGTTTTAAAACACTTTCAGATTATGCCAAGTTATTGGCATTAATCTGGCGATAATTGTCTTAATTATCTGACAAAACTTATTTCCCCCATCTTTGCAAGATGGTGATCCCTATTGATAACGGAAACCCTCTGACAGCAAGTTTTCCAAATGAACACCATAATATGGTGGCAATTAGAGCTCAAACACACAGCAATTTAAAGCCCTTGTGAAATCAAAATTTACAAGGTTTATTTTTCTTTATTCGTTTGGTGCACAATTCATTCTTGCAAGTTAAACTACTAAGGAACAAATGTTGTTTATCTTCAGTCAAATACTCACAACACACGAAAATACAAAAATGCTCTGCAAGAAAAAGAAAACAGTTGGGTTCATAAACTTTCCTAGTCCTTCTATTATGATCTGCATTATTTTGTGTTTAGTTTTATGGGATTTGATGTGGGTGTGTTGTCAAACGGATAAAAATGTTTTCTTAATTATTATGCTTTTCTATTTGCATGTGTTTGCTTAACTTGCAGTGCATTTAAACTATCTCACCCACCATACTAATTGGACCCTTTCAGCCACAGCACTGTGATTTCTAATTTTGTATCTTTATATGTCTATGATAAACAAATGCATGAGAGGCCAGGATTATGTGGAGAATTACATTGGGTAATTGCTCAGCATTTATTTAGCAGATGCTTTTATCCAAAGCAGGATGTGCATGCAGAAATTACCTTTAAATGTTGTATTAAACTATCAAGTCAAACACAAAGGAATAATTTATAGGGTCACTTATGACCCATAAAAAGTACATTTTGGACATCCAGTCTTTGTACAGCTTTCACTCAATTGCCTGATATCTCATTGTTTGGATGTAGACTTTGAGCAGTTAGACTGGGTCACTGAGGGAGCATGAAATGAGACAATAAAGTACAATTTAGAGGTAGGAATGAGCAGTTTAACAGGGATACTACCCCTTTATGTTAAGAATGTGAGAGAACTGATATTATTTAGCATCATTTGTTATTTTTAGTCAGATTTTTTAAAAAGCTGAATAAATCCATTAGAATAAACTAAACTACTACCACACTAAATGTATTTTATAGTACATTTTAAGATGTGCATTCAAATGTAAATAAAAACTCACCTTTAATTTCGGACGATTGAGAAAAGTGGACAGCAACATACAGAACAAGCAGGTTTGGCACAATTTTCCTCAGCTCCATCCTCTTGAACCAAGTCCAACAAAAGCCTACTGTTTAATAAAGCGAATGTAATCCAGTTAAGTTCCTCTTTGTCCGTCGTAAAACACAAGAACAGCTCGACGCATCGGCGATCTTCATAACATTACGTTCACCCTCTGACCGCTTTCTCGGCGTCTCTGTGACCTAAGCGGCCCGGGGTTCAAAGAGTCTGCGCGGGTGAGAGTCTGCGGGTCCACCGAGACTCTGCAGCGCAACACTTTCTTTCCCAAATGAGAAACAGAAGTTGAGCTGCAGGCGACGGCAGGGGGAGAGATAACGAGGCTTGTCAATCAACCTACAACTATTTATTGCGGGTCTCTCCCGCTGCGTCTTCAGTTTACCGCGCTGAGCTCCTGTCTGACTATTGAATTTCACCGTGCAAAAGAAAATATCTGTCAAAGTTTTGGTTTCCGACAACTAAATATAGATCTGAGCTTGGGTTTAGGAAATGTATTAAGAAAGGCAAATTAATCAGGCTATATTTTAATGCAAGATGTGGAATCAAAGAACCCACAACGGGATTGTTGCCGTATAAATAATATAAATTTCGGTTTAGGCGGTTATAAAATGATAAATATTTGATTTATAATTATAATATCAATCTATTACTTAGCCTTAAAAAATTAATAGGCAAAATTATTATGGTAATGCCGAATGTTTGATTCTGATTGGCTGATGAACGTCCTCCGGTTAGCTATCCATTTCCCTGTAAACAGACAGCTAAATTATTTCCTTATCACTAGCTTACATTAAATTATTTTTTTGAGACCTATTTCACAGCCTCTAGAACTATATATTTTATTACAGTTATTATGATGTAAAAGGGTTCCTTATTATGTAAAAAATACTTTTGACCGAAATAATAAAATTTCCAAATTAAGCACACTAGTCATGGCACATATTTCTATTATATTGTCTCTGCAACAATGCTACAACCAGTTTCATAACAGGAAGCCTATATGGAAAACTTTGTCACTGACAAACTAAACTGTGAGCTGACCTTGGTTGACCCTGACACAGTAGTAGTAATGTTGAGTCTTTGTACTGACATTTGAAACACTCTCACATTACATACTACATACAGAGGCCTCAAAACCCAAGAGAAGTGGATGGCAGCAATTTTCAACTCAATTCTGAACTTGACGCTAAATGGCAGCATAATTACAAGTCTACCAAGATCAGGATATATATGAAGAGCAAAATATATATGAAGATCAAGATATTTATGAAGAATATAAATAAAAGTTAAATACACTGAAGCTGTGTAAACAACCATTTCATCCTGGGATCATATCTGCACATTTATAGCCCACTTAAATTACAATTTACTGTACAATTTTGGTTGCTAGTAAGACTATGAACTTACAAGTGCAAAAATAATTGCTATTGTAATGTTAAAATACAGCACAATTGTAATTATGTATTTACAGTAAGCATGTAAATTTAGTCTGACTGAAAACCAAATTTGTATAACTGTAAAGGTACTTTAAAGAGCGCTATTATGAGCCCCATATTTTGGTTTTGAGGGTCTCCAACAACAGGCTGAAAAGCATACAAGGGCAAAAAAACCTTATAATAGTCTTATATTCTGCATTTATTATTACCTAATTATCCCAACGACTCCCATATGCGCGATGCTAATCTGCTCTGATTGTTCCGATGACACAATCTGCTGTGATTGGTTGACTGCATTCACGTGTGTAGGAACAGCTGATGGTGGCCATAGCAACGACAAACAGCAGAGGATTGCAAACTCAGAAACGCATTTAAATCAGTAAATAAATCATCATGCGTCATGTTTTCAACATGGTTTTAGACGCAATATGTGACTATAAAAAGTTAACCATATACAATACAAGCTGTAAGTAACAAAACATAAATAAATGCATATTTTGCTAGCTAGAGAAAACAAGGAGGCAACCATTGTAATCACACTTACACTTCTAAAATAGAAGAAGAAACTGATCCATGAACTGTGTACTGATAAAGTTCTTGTCAAGCTCTGACAAAGTCCCATGCATTAATAGTCTTTTCTGACACTTCCTTTAACAAATGGCCAATGAATCCCCATTGCAGGATAGATTATTACATTAATCACCAAAACATTCACCCATCTTCAGCCATGATCAGTCTCACATCCACACACACTCAGCTAGTGTTTGAAGAGAAAGGCACGTTCATGCTTTACCGGATCCAGCACTTCATATTTGGTATTGTTTCATGTCGACGTCAATACGAACAGCCAAAAGATCTGGATGAACAGCAAATCATCTTCTATTAAAAAAAATCAATTTTTAAATATGGTGCACTTTCAGATTTAAACCTCAGCCGGATGTTTTCATTCACTTAAAGCCGTGTTACACACTGTATGGAAGGTCATTTTCAAAAACCCATAATAGAGGCTCTTTAAGACTGTACATTAACATAGTTTACAGTATTTATTACAGTGTAGTTCATAACAAGGTTGATCATTTCACTTAATTAACCCTAAATGTATATTAATTTAGTATTGTTTGTATATTTTTTACCCTCAAAGTGTCATTTACTATCCATTTATTAGCATTGTGCTCAGGTAAAAATATAGATTTTTATTTGGTTTGCTTGTGTACTTGCTGAATTATTTCAAGGAATAAATTACAATATTTTAAGAGTATTTAATGGAATTAATTAAAACTTCATTATTTCATTTACCAGAAACCAAAACTATTATATTACTGAATATTCATAATATATACACAATTATTTTTTGTGTGTCACCCCAAGATTTGGTGTGGTCTTACTTGGCCACCCCTAAGAACATTTTCTGGGGGTGCCACTGATTGTGCTCTAGACCACGGTTTCATTTATAAATCTACTTTAACATTCTATTTAAAAAGGATCTTTTTTTTTATTAAAATGTCACAATTGAATGGTAGGGTGATTAAATAAACAGCATATTTTCTGTTTCGTATGAACTAACCCTTTAAAACAGGGGGGAAAAAACAGCAAAAAGAGAAAGTACATTAACATAGATTTTTTAATAATTATTATTATATATAAACCTGCAAACAGCTCAGTCAGTAAATGTGTAATTCTGTCATAATTACACTGTTGCACATCTTGAGAAGGCTCAACCCATATGAGCGACTAAATGGATGACTCCACTGGGCCTCAAGTTTCCACTGAGAGATTGGGAAGGTAAAGGGTTGTATAATGGCCACAGACTCCAGTTTAACTGCAATGTTTAGCATGAAATAATAAAGTTTTCATTCTCTGGAGAACTCTAAAAACGGTTTGATTTACAAATCTCTTGGTCTTGAGTGGTCAAAGAGCTCCTAGATGGTTGGTTTAAGATAAGAAGACAAATTTACTCTGCACGTTATCTTGGAAATGATAATAGCTTGACAGTCTGTTTAGTCTGCAGGAAGGCATATCAGGTCACTGCACCAAATTATTTCAATATTTAGAGTTGAATATAAAGTCGAAAAGTGGTGAAATGCTACAGCGCAGCTGTTAATGTTGACAGGCCTTTATGATTTCTGTTAACAGTCTGTTTCCATGATGATGTATTTATATTCAGCTATGAGAAAGACATGAAGTCACTTGAAAAGTTTCAGCTTCTTTGGATTTATTAGTTATGTGTTAGAGTATAATGTTAATATTTGTTTTATTCTATAAAAGTCTGAAAACATTCTCAATGATAAATTAAAATGTTTTTCTTCAGAGATTTTCTTTTACATTCGAAAAATCACAATTAGTCAGCATATTAAATTCATTTTGTGTGATTGAAATTTAGGGCTATTTCACCAAATATCATGAGTGAAAAAAAAAAAAAACAAATAAATAATAATAATGATAAATGTGTATGGGCGTCACAGTGGCGCAGTGGGTAGCACGAACACCTCACAGCAAGAAGTTCACTGGTTTGAGCCTCTGCTGGGTCAGTTGGCATTTCTGTGTGGAGTTTGCATGTTCTCCCCGTGTTCATGTGGGTTTTCTCTGGGTTCTCCGTTTTCCCTAACAAGTCCAAAGACATGCAGAATAAGTGAATTGGTTAAGCTAAAATTGTCTGTAGTATGTGTGTAAATAAGTGGGTTGTAGCTGTAAGGGCATCCACTGCGTAAAACATATGATGACTAAGTTGGGGGTTCATTCAGCTGTGATGAGCCCAGATTAATAAAGAAACTAAATGTGTATATGTGTGTGTGTGTGTGTGTGTGTGTGTATACTGTTGAAGTCAGAATTATTAGCCCACCTTTGATAAAATTTTTTTTTAATATTTCCCAAATGATGTTTAACAGTATCTTCACAGTATGTCTAATAATAATTTTTATTCTGGAGAAAATCTTATTAGTTTTATTTCAGCAAGAATAAAAGCAGTTTTTCATTTTTAAATACCATTTTAGGGTCAAAATTAGCCCCTTTAAGCTATATACTTTTAAATTTTTTTTCATTTTTATGCAATCATTTATATAATTTATTTATTTTTTTATAAATATTTTTTTGCAAGGAAAATAAAATAAATTCTAATTCTAATTTGAAATTACTTCTAATTAAAAAAAATTAAAATGACCTTTGGCATGAGTATACCCAGCATGATCCCAGGAAACCCAACAATTTTACAAATTGTCAGAAAAGTGGCTTATTTGTACAAATTCAAATGAAACTGTAGAAATTTAAAAACAGGTGTGCTACCGAACCCCACCCTTACCATAAAACTGCTTTTTGCTTTTAAAAAAAAATAAAGTTGAAAAACTGACATCCAATTATAAAGGATGTCTCCGAGATGTGTCTTTTTCTTTAATGGTCCATCACGAAATGAAGCCAATCACAGTAGCAAAGTCTACAATAGTAAAAAAATTAGCGCCTATGATCAAATAGATGTTAAGCTCGATAAATTATGCATGTTTATGATAGGAAGTTTTTTTCTGTTTTATTTTTTTAGAACACACTTAACTCCTTATAAAACCCTATAGAAACAGTTATTGGAAAAACCCAGGAGATAAATATATATATATAAATTATGTTCAACGATGTTGCAATATATGGTATATGGCACTAAACAAACAAACTGTGATTGGCTGCTTTGGATGTCAGTCAATGAAATTTGCAAGTCTAGATCTCAGTAGATGTCAGATTGTAGGTCTTGCTAAAAAGACCAGCTTAAATGCAGACCAAGAGATAAAAGAGAAAACAGTAAGAGATATTTTAATGACCTGAAAATCAAGTCGAACTTCCTTCTTGTGCGAGACCTGACGAATTACAGATCGGTATATAGTAAAGTAACAATAATATTAACAATAATTCCAATAAAAGCACCAATATGTGGCTCGCTTGATGCTACTTCAAGTGAGTGATTCAGGCAGAGCGCACTGAAGCATGATGGTTTAAAAGAGATTTAAAAGAACTGAGGTAACTGGGAGTGCAGCTCTAGTCTGAATGGCCGAGGAGCAAGAATGTGGCACTAATGCCATGTTTACTTCTTTATTTAGTCCTCATCTTCTTCATCCCCATCTTCATGGCTGGAATTCTTCAGCTGTGGCCGTTCTCGTTTGATGGTTATAATCCCGGTGAGGACAGCGTAACCCAGCATTGCCCCCACAGCAAACAGAACAGACAGAATCTGGTTGCGACGCATGTGGGGCTCATTGTCGAAGTCACTGCTGTCAGACTGAACATGAATCTTGCGAGCTGGAGCCTCTGAAAAAGAGATTGTAATATTTAAGTGGATTGGTTAATAGTTGTAATGTCTGAATTTAAATTCAGATCCCTTAATTTGGACTAATGAGTTAACAGAAGAAAAAAAAAACTCATTGCTTTTACACCACCATACTGCAGGGGCAAAATGAGGCTCAGATATTATTTTAAAGTCCATTCAGAAGAAAGTTCATTCAACCCCAAATCAGAAAAAGTTGGTACAGTATGAAAAACGCTAATAAAAAAGAAAAGTAGTGATTTCTAAATTTTCTTTAACTTGTATTTCATTGCAGACAATACAACAAACATTATTTAGTGTAATGATTTGTAATGTTTTCGCTTTTCAAAATAAACACATTCCAATTTGCAACACATTTAAAAAAAAAAAAAAGAGTTGGGACAGGAGCAATTCAGGGCTAAATAATGATGTGATTTAAACAGGTGATGTTAACAGGTGATTGTAAATATGACTTACAAAAGCAGCATAGGTCTAGTCATTTTAAAGATGGGCCAAGGATTGCTAGTTTGCCAACAAATACACCAGAAAATTATTAAAATTTTTAAAAACAATGTTCCTCAAAGAAAGAAAGAAGACATTTAACATTCAACAGTGCATAACATAATTAAAAGATTCAAGGATTCTTAGTGCGTAAGAAAGAATTTCAGTGCATAAAGGAAAGCTGAACAACCATGATCTCCCATCACTCAGGTGGCACTGCATCAAGAATCATCATCTATAAGCGATATTGCCACATGGGCTCAGGACTACTTTGGCAAACCTTTGTCAAGAACCACAATACGTAGTTACATCCACAAATGGCAGTTAAATGTGTACTGTACCAAAAGGAAGCCCTTTGTTAACAGTGTCCAGAAGTGCCGTCAACTTCTCTGGGTTTGTAGACATCTGTGATAGAAATCAGTATTACAGGTATTTTTTGGGATAAATGGACGATGTGTGCTCCCGACCACATAAAAAAAAGATCATGTAGATTGTTACCAGTAACAAGTTCAAAAGCCATAGTCTGTCATGGTATGGAGTTGCGTCAGTGGCTTTGGCAAAAGTAATCTGTGATGGCACCATTAATGCTGAAAAGTACATAGAGCTTTTGGAGCACAATATGCTTCCTTTTTTTCCAGGTATGTATATTTCAATAAGACAATGCAAAACCACATTCTGTACACAGTACAAGGTCCTGGCTGCGGAGGAAGAGGATACAGGTACTTAACTGGCCTGTCTGCAGTCCTGACCTGTCTCCAATTAAAATGCATAGCGTATTTTAAAATCCTAAAAGGCGACAACGAAGACCCTGTACTATTGTCCACCTTAAGACTTTAGTTGTGCAGGAATAATGGGTTAAAAAAACTCCCGAAACACATCATCACTTGGTGTCTTCAGTCCCAAAATGTCTTTTAAGTGTTGGAAAGGAATGAAAACATTACACAGTGGCAAATGCCTTGCTGTTCCAACTTTTTAAAAAAATCAAGAACCAAAATTGGAATACATGTTTTTATTAAGTAAATTTATATACCACTTCTTTCATTTTTTATTTGTGTTTTCCATACAGTCCCAACTTTTTCTGATTTGGGGTTGTGTTTGCATTACATTTATAATACTATGTATAATGTCTCAAACTATGTATATTATTAACTACTACTACTACTACTACTACTACTACTACTACTACTACTACTACTACTACTAATAATAATAATAATAAAATGTAGCAAAATCTTTTAACACAATACCCACCTCGTTGATCAGAGGGGAAGTAGAGCAGTAAGATGTTGCTGCAGAACTGCTCCAAGTTGTTCAGTGAGTTCAGGTGCTGCTGGAGTTTTCCATTTGGCAGCTTGATCTTCAACAGAGGAGCTAGGTGTGCAAACACATAGGCATCCAGAGACGAGGGACTGCAAGCACACACACACACACACATATATCATGTGCACACTTCTTTCTCTCAAAAACAATCAAGTACATGTGCAATGACACAAAATTAGTGTTGCTCACGAGTCTCCAAAGAAGAATTTCTGTGATCCCAGTCTCTGTGACAGGAGAGTCATACATTCAAATGCATCACGATAAAGCTGCAGAAC